GCCACTTAACCTCTCTCTACTTCAGCCTTTTCACTGGGGAAACAGGGAAATTAGCTCTTGATGCAAACTTGCATGAATGTTATAAAACTAACAAGAACCATAAGATTTAGGGCCAAAGAACGGGACTGCAGAGACCACGGCTTCATTTTAGCAATGACAGCCTCACTACTGGACCCTAGATAAGAAGATACCAAAAAGAATAGCAATTCAAAGACAATGCCAAAAGAAGACAGGTCATTAAAGATCTGGAAAACCCTCACTGCCCAAGAGCTTTCCCATACCCTTCAACTTGGATCTGGCCACGAATCCAGGGCCATGGTGTACTCATCCTTCCAGAGCCCAAATTCCTCTACAACGGCCCAACCTGTGCTGCACCTCACTGCAGGGCCTGGGGTCACTGCCTCTCAGGACAGCCCTGGCTCTGAGAGCTTTCCACTTAGTATCTGAACCAAAATCCATCTCCCTGAAGCTTCCACCCATCAGTCCCACTGAAGCCGCCTGGACCATCCAGGGTGAGTTGGGACCGCCCTTGAAGCCATGGACCAGCCATCAATTGATCACGTTAGCGTGGCCATCGTTCTTTGTCACAGCTCTTCTCCCACCACTGAGGTTCCCTCCATGACTTCAGTCCCATCCCCACCCTTCCTACTCTCATCCAAACTTACCTCTGCTGTTCTACAATCAACATAAGGCACAGCTCCTGGATCTGAATGATATATAACGCTTTCATAAGCATATTTTATAATTCTGACCAAATCAAATCCAATTTAAAATCAAGAATATCACAGACATTTTAATATCCAATGTTCCAAATGGTCTATTAAATAGGAATACAAGGGACACAGGTAGAAACAGGATAAAAAGCTTAATGCTCCCTTCACTTTTTTATGGTGAGGCTGCGGGATGCTAGTTTCTAAGAAGCCCTTTCTATCAAAGTTTAAACTCAATGGTAAAAATGTCTTGTTTTTGATATTCTTAATTAACAGAATTTTAAAAATCTCTCTGTGTGTTTGAAAGAGAAAAAGTGAAAATTTCATTAAAGAGCTGGACTGACAACCCTTATTTCTCCTTGGGATTTTGGCAACCAATTACTGAAAAAATGATAACTTCTTGTCTGGTTTTCCTCGGTAAAAGCACCACAAAGTTGCATAATTTTACCAAAAGGGTCACAGTGTTTGAAAAACCTCTCATATACTTAGAGATTGTACAGATGGTGAGAACGGAGCTAAAGTTGGGGAGGTAGGGAGGTGGGGCACCAAATGCCAGGGAAGGCAGAGCTGGGGAACTGCATGGGGTCCTTGCAGGCTGGCACCACAGTGCCCCTCAGCTGCCCAAGGTCGCAGGCATGTGGAAGCAAGACATACATCTGCCTTCCTAAGACACTTGTGTGTAAAGTGACATATGATGTCACAATCAGAAAGTGAGAGTTCAGCTCTTAGCTGTAGCCTCACACTTCTTTCAAAGCTTAAAGAGGGGCTAGGTTTTTACTTTCATGTTTTATGACTCTAGGTGATAGTAATAGTTACAAAGCAGCCCAGTGACTGGCTTCATCATGCAAGTGTCTTCTCTATTAATCAGATATGTGAGTCAGTCAAGTAACCACGTCAGAACCCAAAATAAATAAGACAAGGAACTCTTCAGTCATAGTCTCTGCTTCTATAATTCAATAGGTTGATTGAATTATTTTTTAATTATATACTTCATAAACATAAGAACATAACTGCTCTACTTAGGTTATGGCCCCCTCTGCCATTCAGTCTAGATTTAGTCACCATTCTTCAGCAGAAAAGAACTGCTGTGGTGGAGGACAGTGAGCGTGGGACAGTGACACACTTGGGGGAAGGCCGCCCTTATGTCCACCGGCCACATGAAGAGCCCCATGTGGCCAGGCATGTCTGGGCTTGCGGCAACACAAATACCGATGACACACACTTCCAGCCTTTGCTTGTCGAATGAGCACGCCACAGAGGTGAGAAACAGCTGCAATGGCTGGGGAATGGCACCGAGGGCCACATGGGAAACTCAGGCCAGGCCTCGGGGACGACGGAGGACAGCACACACCCTGGCCCTCGAGAGGCTTCTGGTCACTGCACTTGTGGAAGATGAGCAGCAGTCAGTGGTGCCAACTGCCCCAGGGCTTTGCGAGGGCACTGCAGCAGGCATTGGCATTGTGTGGCTCCCTGGTTCCGTCCACCTAGTCCTGTCTCTGCTCTGGGGCACACTTGCCTGGCCGGCATCAGCGGGTGCTCACCGTGGGCTTCTGGTTGGATTGGACAGGGAGGGGACAGCAGAAGACCACAGGATGGGAGAAGAGTAAGGTCTGGGTGCTCCCTGGACGTGTCCCTCTGTTGAAGGCCCCAGCTCCTAGCTGGAGATAGCTCCCCTCCCCTCCTCCTACCGTACCCCTGGGTTCTGCCCCAGACCTGTCATTCCTCCTGTACCTCTCTAGTTCCCGCAGTCACTCCCCTCAGTGGCCCGGCCTGAGGGCGCCATCTGTTCCCCCTGACCAAATTAGCTGATTTCTGGTGGGATTTTATTTTTCTTACATTCTAAGGAGATTTGAACCTAGCCATTTGTTCCAATAGGGTATGTCAAAACCATGAAATTCAAGTACCTTACAGACATCTTCTTTAGAACTTTCTTTACCTGAAACCGTGATGTTTCAGCACTAGGTCAAGCAGTAGAGAATACGCTGGTAGTAACCAGTCAGTACCTCGCAGGAAAGAGAAACGTTTTCCTATAATCAAACAGTATCCTCAAAAAATAAAATATATTCAACTAGCTATTCAAGAACAGAATGCCTAATTTGGAAGGTTTACCCAATGTACTTTGAGGAATTAATAGTTATTAAGACTATTAAAAATACCATATACTATTGAACCTAAAATTACTTCAATGGTAGGATGCATTCTGACTTTAGAGATGTTAAAACGCAAGGAAAAAATTTGCCTTAGAAATAATGAAATACAGAGTGTCTCACAAAAATGACTCATTTATAGTCTGAAAGCTAACTTTTCCTAGGGAAAAATGACGCTTTTTCTTTCGATACTCATTGTTCACTTTCTACGGGAAAGATGTCATCGTCACCGATGTTACAAAGACCAGGCTCTCTCAGCCAGAAAGTGAGGGCATGTCCCCCCGGGTCTTCCGCCTTGAACTTCTGAACACACATTGTCCACTTAGCCACGCTTGAGGCGCTGTTGTGACTTTGTAATGTGGGTGTGTCTATGGTGCCTGAAGTCTGCCCTTCTGCTTGTGTCACCACCTCGGCAATAAGGGTGACATCACCCTTTAATGAAAGGGGCCCATGGCTGTTGCTGGGGCGATCCTCTCTGTCAGCCTGGCTGTGCGCTGCCGCGAGGAGCACCCCGTGCATTCCTTTCGCTCAGGAGTGGACTCGAAACCATGCTCAGGGCGTCCAGCATGCTCAGGGCACATCTCAAGCTTCCTTCCAGCTCACTGCTGGCTGACTGGATGCTGGTTGGCACCAGCTGCCCAGTTAAACATGCAAATGCTACTAACTTCTGGGAGGCTCTCCCCTGTTCACAGAGTCGACACAGCAGTCCAAAGGTGGGTCGGAAAATTAAAATACACGTAAGCAGCTACAGGTGGACTTGATCATCAGTTTCTACCAGGTTGTGCTTTTGAAAAAAGTCACAGACATCAGCTGGGAACACAAGGCACATGCAACATCACTCTGTGAAAACGGGCACTTGGCCTTTCTCTAAAGGAAATCTTACCCCTGACCCCCCAACCCCCGTGAGTGTAGCCTGGAGGTAAGGAGGGCACGCGGTGCCCACCTGCTGAGGCCAGGCTCCTTCCTGATTTACCCCAAGCCCCTTGCTAGGTGGGGTGAGGCCTCATGTGCATGGGGGACAGGAGTGTGGGGGGCTTTGCAGAACAGTGTTTCAGGGGTCTCATCTGTGGTCAGCATTTGTGGCCGAATCCCTCCTCAGCGGGAGGGTCAGTGGTACCTGGGTGCTCTGTCCCACGGTCGTTATTTCTACCACCGCTGACATAACAGAATCTCCTCATCCATCACATGACAAAATCAGTTTCTATTGGCTACACGTGTCAGCAGGAAGCTAATGGGAGGCACACGGGAAGGAGCGTGGTGAGAAGGGCTTCCAGACACTCTGACGAGCCCGGCGAGCGACTCGAGGCTGCCAACCCCAGCCCCTCACGACACAGTAAACCACGCTGCCCACCTCATGTCAGCATATCGCACTCTGCCCCGTCCTTGCACTTACTAGTGCTGGTCTCACAAACCACAATTCTGTTATGACAACAGTGTTTTGAAATTTTAATTTTCCTTCCAAGTATTTCTTCACCTTGTTTATTACCCCTGCATTCATTTTTACCTCTCACAGTGTGGGGGGTATGTGTGTGTGTACAGGCCCGTATCGCCACCTGCATCTGTGGAGTAAGAAACGTACATTCATCTGAAGGAGCCACTTTACAGAGATCATTATCTGGCCATCACTCAGAATAAAAATTAAGGACTTGAGTCAAAAGAGAATCAAGACAAACTATGACAACTGGAATATTACTAGAGCCGACAAAACAGAAAGAGCTAATGGACACCGACAAAGAGGCGTTCAGCATGACATGTTGCTAAATGCCAGAACGGAGGCAGCTGTCTTCCTAGAATTAAGACTAACCCGTATCACAGAGGCTCAGGAGCAGTGATGATGGTCCTTATCAGAGTAACACGACACGCCCACAGAACTTGACCAGGCATCTGACGGGGAAGCCAGCAGGTCCATCCACCACTGACAACTGCCAGAGGTCGGAGAAGAGATTTGGGTGGGTAATTTGAGAACCAGCCAGTGATGAGAAGGTCCCAGGGGCCCTCCAGTGCCACCTTGCACAGAAAGCATATGGTGGCCTGCATGGCTGTGCATCTGTGGTTCTATGGGTATCTGATTTTACAAAAGTGAAAAATAAAAATGAATTTCAGAAATTCAGACTCTCACCCTGGGTGTCCCGGGAAACCTTACCTTCGGCAGTGCCCGAGGGCCCGTCGGCTTTGAAGTTGCTGGTACTTTTCTTCCTCCGGTGCTTCTTTCTGTTGGCGTGAGGGGAGGGGGGCGGGTCGAGCTTGGGGCTGGTGGTGCTGGAGATGCTGGGGCTGGAGCACACGGAGTCGCCCAGCCCCGTGTCTGCCACCGGACCGGAAAAGGCAAAAGAACGCACAGGATCAGGACTTAGAAAGCAGACCTCGCAAAACACCAAAGCAATGTTCCTGCAATAGCACACGAGGCCCTGCAAGTGACAGCTCCCATGAGACGGCAGGACTGGAGGCTCTGAGCCTCCCGTGTGGAAAGACCAGGCTGCCCTTGCTCAGATGTGCCACCTGCCACTCAGAAGCAGCCACTTACTTCCACATCACCTTTATGCTATGGAGAATGCAAAAATTCTCTACTTTGCATGGCAGGAGTTCTGGAAAAGGAGAGTGGTGAGTTTATGCTTTTTAGTTGTTTATTTTTCTCTTCCCACAATTACGTTGATATGTCAGGAATGAAATAAAGACACTTAAGAATACATATGGACATGTTGTCCTTAAATGGGTCTGCTTCTGTATGTGTGTGCACAGGATGAAGTATTCCCGATTATCTGTCCCTCAAGATTACATGTCTGTGGCTTCGTTACACTTTATTAGTGGTCAACACTGATATGCCCTCTCTCTCTCTCTCTCTCTCTCACCAAAGTCCAGCAATGGTGTTTAGAAGTTGATATAGCAGACCTGCCAATTTTCGATTCACTGAAGCTGCTTATAAAAGTTTTAAAGCCAATGCACAAATGTCATAACTCACTGTAAGTGAAACTCTCAATTCATTATGTCTCTTTTTCATCAGAGAAAGCGCAAGTGGTGCTAAATGACCAGGAATGAACATATAAAGCAACCAGAACAGGAAAGAACACTGAAAACGCAATGAAGGAATGGGAGGCATGCACCTCCCAGGTCTTCAGGATTCCTTAGTTCAGGATTCAGCATCTTTGTGATAAAAGACAGCTCTGTGCAATGTATTGCATTCATTCCCCTGGTGTTTCCGAGCACCTACTGTGGGCCAGCCGCTTTTCTAGATGTTTGGCATTGTCACTGATGGAGAACAGGTGCCTGCCAGAGTGGCAGAGCTGGCCTAGAGCGTGTGAGAAGGTGGGAGGTGTGAGAAGGTGGGAGGTGTGAGAAACAGAGAGGAGGTGTGGGGACGGAGGCTGGGAAGGTGGGAGGGGGTGACAGAGATGGGAAGGGGGTGTTTTAAATAAGGTGGTCGGGGCAGGTCTCACTGAGAAGGTGACATGTGAGCCAAGACTTGAAGATGACAAAGGAGTGGGAAGGTGGTGACTGGGGTGGGAGAACAGCCAGAACCTGGCCCTAAGTGGCGAGCGTGTCTGTTGCGTTTCGGAAACAGAGAAGGCCAGAGGGGCTGGGCCAGGCTGAAGGAGAGGCCTGTAGGAGGTGGCTTCGGAGAGAGGACGGGGACCATGCTGCAGGGGGCTCGTAGGCCACTGTGCGGACCCCGGCTCGCACTCTGAAGGAAACCAGGAGCCACCATAGGGTTCTGAGCAGAAGGGTGACATGATTTCAAATATAAAGATACTTGAAATCAAACTGAATTTAAAATATTTTTATTTTGTAAAGTTCTAGAAAATTTTATGATATATTGAGAAATGTAAAAATATTATAACTTAAGGATCTAAAAAATATTTATGGTTTCAAGAACATCCCAGGATGCGACTTCCTGAGACCAGAGATGTCCTGTCCACCTCTGATGACTGTCAACAGACAAACAAGGTCAACCTTGTTTCCATGTGCCCATCACACGTGGAGGAGGGGAAGGAAGGCATCAGCGAGCCCCTCCTGGGAAGGGTGTGAAGAGCCACCTCACAGCTCCTGCAGGACAGCCTGGTGGCACCTGATGGCATGAGACCCGAGACCAGGTCCACCAGGTGCCTTCTTGCTCATGAAATGCTAAAGTGCTGTTAACCATTTTAAAGAGTTGCAGGAACTGGGACAGTCCGGTGTGTCGGCGACTTTCCTTCTACAGACAGAATCTGCTTCATATACACGCACATCTTGTCCCTCAAAGTGCCCATCCAGATGGGTTACTGTCCTCTTGTGACAGGAAGAGAGGTAACGTCAACAGTAGAATTTGGCCGTGAGCATCCCCGGGTGGCTCCATCGAGATTCACCACAACTGTTCCTGTGATGTCCCCTCCACTGCAAAGGAAAAGCCTCCTCTCTTGCTAAAGTAACCTTCCAGCCTGACCAGCTCACTTCCACTCCACCCCCCCTTCTCCAATGGCTTCCTTTCTGTCCTAAGGCTCCCAAGATCGTTCACATTCATTCCTTCCCTCCACTCCCCACACCCTCTCTTTAGCCCCATTATTCCTTAAGTGACAATCTTAATAGCAAGAACGTATACAGAAGTCACTACCAGTCAGGTCCCGTTCTAAGCTCCTTACGTATACTAACTTACTCAATTCTCCAAATAACCCATTGAATACGAGCTGGTATTATCACCTCCATCTTGCAGATAAAGAAACTGAGGCACGGAGGGAGGTTAAATAACTCGCCATAGTCACAAAGCTAGAGTCCAGCTCCGGAGTCTGCTGAAAACCACTACAGACTTCTGCAGACGACGAAGCTATCCAGACAGGTGGCTTAAGTCCTTTTCTTCCTGACTCCTTCAGACGTGGCTTCCCTCATCAGTGCTTTACTGTAACTTCCTCTGTGCCACAGCCAAAGCCCTTCTTACCCTTCCTTTCCCTAATCTCCTAGTCGTACTGACCCGAAGGCACCATCATTTCTGGACTCTTCTCCTCTGTGTCCAGGGGGACGTTCTGATGGACATGACACCAAGGCTGGTTGGTCCCCAGTCTTGCCTCTCCTCTGGCCTGTGAGTTTCCTTGTGTGGCCCCAGCAATGTCTGCTCCAACTCTCTTCCCCACAGCTGGCTCCTGAGGGGACATCTCTCACTGACCTTTCTACTCACATGCAACTTTCTTCTGCCACCTCGAGCTCTCTCCCTTGAAATTGACACCTTGCACTTTTGCCTGATTCCCGGCTTTCCATGCCAGATAGCCGGCAAGTCTCCCTGGTATCTGTACCCAAGGTGCAGCAAGCAGTTCTGAACCCCTCTTAGCTTGCAATGTGGCTTTGTGGCTGGGGCGGGGTGGGGACCCCAAGTTCAACCGGTCACCATTTCTTCCTTTACATGGCCTCTCCACTTGCCACCTGCTCTCCATTTAAGCCACACTCGCCCTTGGTCCAGTTTTTACTCCCCCAGACCTGGACTGTGCAGCCAATTCTAGCAGATCTCTCTTCTTCCTGCTTTTCGCCTTTTAAGTTGTCCCAGAGTTTTACGACACCAATCTTTCTAAAGCAGTGGTTCTTATACAGGTATTTTTAGAATACTAGATCTCACTGAATTTCAGATGAGAGTGATAGATATCTGTGAAGGGGGGGGGGAGGGAGAAGGCTACACTAATTAATTTCTGTACAATTTCACAGTGTTCAGAAGCTACGTTATGTTCCTGGGGAGGGACAGATCTACAGACCCCAAGATGATTACTTGATACTACAGCAACCCTTCTGCATGTTACTCAATGCTCAAACCCTATAGCGAATATTTTTGCTCATTTCAACTATTTTCTGCCCAGTTTCAAAGTCTTCACCCTCTGACCCCATCCTCTCTATTAAGTGTGAAGAACCCTCCCTGTGCCAGGGATGACGACAGGCCAAGGGAAAGCAATAATGACCATGACTGTCCCTATCCTAGAGAGCTCAACTCTAATTGTGGAGGCAGATGAGCAGGACAGGCAAACGGAACTGCCCTCTGTTGCAGTGGGGCTGCTGTTCTCTTCCTCCGTCCACTCTGTCCCATGCGTGTCCTCTCAATCCCATAGTCCATGTTCATTCCCAACCATGCACCTTTCCTTGTCTCACTCCACATCTGGGCCGCTCTCTCCCAAACTAGCCTTTCTCACCTCTGAACTCCTACTGACCCTACAAATGAGACTTTCTGTACTCAGCTGTCAATTACCTAAATCTAACTACATGGCTGTTCCCCAAGGCAACTAAAGGTGCTCATTTTCCCCTGTAGTGAACTGTGCAATGCTGAGCACACAGCAGGTACGTCATAAAATAAACTCCCTTCCGCTACCCAGTGGATTTTTTTTTTTTATTATTCTTAGCGTGCACCAACATTTCTTTTTTAAGACACTTAGACCACATAGCTAAGCTATACAGTCCATGTGACAGGCTTGCATATACGTGTGGTGTCTATTCCTTGGCTTTCGATTCTATTCTATTTCTCTTTTTGTCTGTCTGTGTTCTAATAGCGCACGGCCTTAACCACTACAGCTTTCTAAGCCTAGACTCAGTCATTCTTCACAATCACCTGAGCCATCCGTGGCTGTTCTGAGCACGCAACTCTGCACGTCCATCCAAGCCAATGAAAGGGATTCTAAAAACAGTGGCATCGAGATAGAGCCTCACACACTCACATGCACCAATTCAAACCTGGAAGCTTCTATCCTACCTGGGGTTGACCTTAAACTCCATGGTATATGGCTCAGAATTCGCCTTTCTGGAAATCAAAATGACATGGATCTGTTTCTAGGCATCTCCCTTCCTTAGAAAGGAAAACTTTTCCCAAAATAATTGGCAGGGACATGGGAATCTCATTTCCAAGTTTTTCCAGTATCTTAGAATATTTGTAATTCAGGAAGAAATTCCTGACTCGCTTGGAGGAAGTAGCTATGGGGCAATCTTGAGAAGGAGACCGAACCTGGAAGTGACGTCACCCATCTTCCCCTAAGGGACCATCAGAGCCGATGCCATCAGCACTTCCTTCATACCCTTGTTTTTCCTGGGCATCCCTCAACACCAGGACTTCTATTCCCACCCCCAGCCAGGAACATCTGGCAATGACTGGAGACATTTTTGGTTATCAAACTTTGTGGGGTGGTGGCATCAACTGATAGAAGCCAGAGATGCTGAAAAATGTCCTACAATGCACAGGACGGCCTCCGTCACAAAGAATTGTCCGGCCTAAAATGTCACTAGTGAGAAACTCTGCAGAATTCTAACCCGATGTAGTCCTCAGCCTCTCCCATTCTTCCTTTGCAATTGTGGCCTGTTAGTACAAACCCC